TTTTTTTTTTTATTAAACACTTTTTATTGACTTACGCCTTCCAATATTTCCCTTCCCTTACCATACAGTTGGGGTGGGGCTATAGAGTCATCACTGCTGTCCGTTACCGGCCAGCCTTCCTCGCTGCATCCGCTTCTCTCTCCCTGCATCCTCAGGGAGCCCTTACTCCTGTCACTGTCACTGTCACTGAGGGATCCTCTCTCTTGATCTTAAATGGACAAATGAACATACACAAATCTGACATGACCGATGAGGTCTATCATGCACGGACCATACTAGTAAGTGGAGGGAATCTTACAGAACTAGAGGATAGTTACATGGTCCGTCAGGGGATCTGTGGCTCTTTTAGAGCCAGAAACGCTCCCTCTACTGAGCTGCTGGTAGCCGCCCTGATGTGTTTGCTCCTTGTTGCCAGGATTTTGCCTCGCCCAGCCCTCCTGCCATGGCCCTAACTCAGAGTATTTTCTGTCTAGAATATTCCTCTTCCCCTGCCTGACTCACTCCCTCTCATCCTTTGAGTTTCAGCTTGAACTTGCAGCAGGAAAACTATCTCACACTTGTGATCAAACTCAACACATGACCACATATACAGAAATAAGGACCACTCACTCACAACGGACGAGGTTCGAAACCCAGCCTTTATGCCGGCTTCTACGGCCCCTGGGGCAATTCTTCGGAGAGTATGTTTCTTTTAGGACCTGGTTTTAAGGGTCCATAAAACCCAAAGGCAGAATCCTTCCACAGAGCCACAGAGGGCATTGCAACGATTCGTCTCTGGCTTCAGCCATGCCCCGCTCTGGAAACTGGCCTGCTAATCCAGCTACAGCTTTCTCAGACCGTACTCTGCAATTGCCTTTTGCACTTTAAATACCTAGGTGAGGCGATGGCTCGTGGGAGCCCTTTTCCATGGTGACTGCCAGCAAGGCTGCTGGGCCGGAATAAAATCTGTAACATTGTTGGCACTGCCTCTGAGCTTCATGGCCGTGAATTACGTCCTGGGGCGTAAATGATGTGTTAATAAGTAAGTCCTTCATAGGCCCCCCAAATAGCCTAGGATGGTAGGTCCTCGAGCAAATGCTGAGGTTTAGCTTTGGTCTTCCCTAAATGCTGTCTGAAGATTTGGGTCTTAACTCTTGCACCCATTTTCTCAGGCTCCGTGTCCACCTGAGAAGGCTGCTCCTGAACCTGGAGCCCCAGCTGTGCACAGCTACGCCACAGCAGACGGGACCTCCAGACAGGGCGGTCGCCAAGGGGCCCACTCATGCCTCCATTATCTCCAGCACTGGGTTTACCAGAAAC